TTTTATCTTCAAGTTTAGATTCCCAAAGAACGATACAAGAAAAGAGATTAATTATTTCAACCCTTGCCAAAGTTGAGGCTTTAATTATTATTATTATTAGAGAAAAAACTTATTATTTCTTGGGGGAAATTAAAAAATGTAGTCTATCAGAATTTTTTTAATTGAAACCATTATAAAAAAATAAATAATAAAAAAGAAATAACAACATATAAAATTAAAAAAGAGAAAATAAAATTATTTTTATAACTTTAATATTCAATAGATGTTAGCTCAAGAAATGATTATCATAATTAAGTATAAATAAAATATAAATACATTTAAATCAAATACTATGTACTATTACCTTACAACATATGTACTGCGGAGTCATAAAGATAATTTGAAATTTTTTTTATTAATTTTAAGTATAGAAATTTTTAACTATTTTTTTAACTAATTACTAATTTTTTTACAATAAATATTTGCGATAAAATATCACATTTTATAATTCTCCTTACTTCTTTAAGAGAATGATTAAAGATTTATATATATAAGTAACATGCGATTTGCTTTAAAAGTTAGAAACGTTAACTAATTAAGCAACGTCCACTCACTTGTTACCAATAATTTTTTTTTTAAATTACAATTATAAGTTATCAAATCATAATTGAATATTATATTCATATATAAAACTTATTAAATAATTAAATAAACAAACTAACCAACAAATAAAAACATAATCACATATAATGAAACTTGAACCTAGAGATTTTAAGATCTCCTTTTTGTCACTAATCGAATGTTTCATTGACCTTGTTATCAATAATTTTAAATTTTATATTTGATATATTATCGATATATAAATATTAATATACTATTAAAGTATTATATAATTATATTTTATAAAAAAATTACTAATACCTTTCACATATTTAATTGATATGATTCTTTAAATGAATGATATAAAATTACTAATACTTTCTTTAATCATAATTGAACTCTTAGATCCAATCCTTATGTTTTAAATCTAAATATCTTTTAATATATTTTAATTAATTTTAAGATTTTTATTAAAAAATAATTTTGAATGACTGATCACATACATACAAAAAAAATTAATAATGATTCCATTTTTTTTTTTTTAATTTAGCAATGGAGTCTTTCGGATGAAAAAACCTTATGACAAATATAATCTTCTAATTTTAACATGTACTACATCGGTTGCTTATAAAACCTTGTCCCTCTTTCTTTCACTTTCGTCGATGAAGCAATTCTTTTCCCAACCATTTACAGACTCAATTTGCTTTCTCTTCATGGAGTGCAGTGTAGGTTCCCAAAGAAACCATATTTCTAATGGTGGTGAGGGACAAAACGAAGGGTGTCCAAGAACTAATTTCAAAGAGATTATCTCAACCCTTCCCAAAGAATAAGGCTGGATCTTATTCAACTACCTTTTCAAATACCAAGGCTTTTGGTACCCTGATGAGATCACCATGGAAGGAACCTTGTCAGCTCAACAACACTTCCGGGCTCAACCGTCGGATATATTCCTTTGTAGCGCTCCTAAAACGGGCACAACCTGGCTGAAGGCCCTCGCTTTTGCCATTGTCTCGAGGACCTCATTTGATGATTCCACCAACCCTTTACTTTCCAAGTTACCACATGAATGTCTTCCAGGTTTGGAGGTCTGTAGCATCACCTGAATTAATCGAGATGCCGGAAACCCTCTCATCGCCACCCATATCCCCTACTCTTCCTTACCAAAAACTATATTCGATTCCGGTTGTAAAATTGTTTACATTTGCAGGGACCCCAAGGATGCGTTTGTTTCTATGTATCACTTTTTTGCCAAACTGATGATTTCCAAGCATATCGAACCCCTTCCTCTAGATAAGGGCTTTGAGCTATTCAGTAAAGGATTATCCATATACGGCCCATACTGGGACCACGTTTTAGGGTATTGGAGAGCAAGTTTGGATTGCCCTGACAGAATTTTGTTCTTGAAATATGAGGACATGGCGGAAGATACCACTTTCTATGTTAAGAAATTAGCCGAGTTTATTGGCTACCCTTTCTCCTTAGAAGAAGAGAAAAAGGGGAGGTGGAAAAGATTGTAAGGATGTGTAGTTTTGGGTATCTGAGCAGCCTGGAGGTGAATAAATATGGAAAGTGTGGAGGGAATACATGGGAATTGCCAAATAATGTATTCTTTCGTAAAGGGAAGGTCGGAGATTGGCAAAACTATTTGACACACGAGATGGCTGAACGTATGGATTTGATAACAGAACAGAAGTTGAGTGGTTCGGGTTTAAATCTAAACCATGATCTTCAAAAGTGAGTACATTAATCTAGCCTGCAGACCGAAAGCAGCAGCTCAAGTTTACAAGCTTGTAATCTCAAATTTATTCCTCTGTTTTCAACATTCTGCTTTCCCTTTCTGTTTCTGGAAATAATTAGCAACGCAATGCTTGTTGCTTATTGTAGTCAATTAGAGCATGTTAGGATCCGACGTTAATAATAATAACACGATACAATTATTATTGTAACAAAATTGATTTGTCATTGATTTATCGTTAGATTTCAATTATTTTCTGTGGTTATCTATTCGGGAGCCAAATTTGCGTCGCACCATGTTTGTATGCTCCTTCATGAAAAACTGTTGCAATCACGTGAATAATCCTACAAGTTGTCCGCAGTTAGAGGAAGTGGAAAAGGGGAGGCACAAAAGATTGTAAGGAAGTGTAGATTTGATCAGAATCAAAGCAACATGGAGGGGAATAAAAATGAAAGTGTCTTCAAAACATCACAATTGCTAATCCAAAACAATAAATTCTTTTGAAAAGGAAAGGTCGGACATTTGGAGAATTAGTTGACTTCCAAGATGGCAGTAGGCTAGTGTTTGACAACACAGAAGAATGTTGATAATGCCATTTAATATAAATGGTACACCCATTTTTTTGGAGGTGGATTCCTACAAGGACAGGCAATGTATAGTACAAAGTTTATGTCGAACATATCACTTACAATTTTATAATACAATTAATCAACTATAATTTAGTATTATGTAAAATTTATAAAAAAAATTATGTAAAATCTACATTTTTAAGTGATGGATCTCGTCATAATTTTTTATTATGATTGATTAATAAGAAGATCATAATAAAAAATATTATAAGTAAAATACTCTCCTGCTTTGTACCCTCAATAAATATTTTTTTTACACTTAGCATTATAATGTGATCAAACATGTTCCTCTTGGATATGGGTGGTTGGTTCTCCCAAACTTTTGAAACATTTTTTAGTATGCATACATATATATTAAATACATTTAAATTCATTTTCTAAATTAAAACTATTAATTTTATTATTTTTTGTGTTTTAAAATTTTAATTTTATTATTGTAATTTAAGAAATGTTCAAATCATATTGATATTTGTTCATTTATTATATCCAACCATTATTACTAGCAAATTCTTAAAATTAAAAAATTTGTCACAAGTTTTAGATCACAATTAAATGAACTTAACAAAAGTCAAATTAACTTTTCAACTTTCTCAACAAGATTAAGTGTTTAACCAAGCATCAAATATATTTTGGTTTTTTTTTTTTTTTTTGGTACAAGAGAGGTCAAGTTTAAGAAATTTAGGGAAAGGAAGATATAGCTTACTACAACTTCTGTCCATATCATTTTCTACATTTATTTTTACTTTGGATCTTTATCAAATGTTATAATTATTTTTCCAACAAAGAAAATTATATTGGAATTAATTTACAAAAGGATAGAAAAAACATTATAACTTTTAGTCTCAAAATTTCATCTCCATTCTTTTAAAAATATTTTTTTTTTATTTTAATAAAATATTTAATGATTAATTTATTCAAACTTTTTTCTTATTTTAATTTTAAATTACCAAAAAAAATTAATAATTCATTGATGGATTGCGTAATTAGTAATTTTACGGTTAATTGTAAATCATATTACTGTTAAAAAAACAATATTGTCATAATAATATTTTTGTTTTATAATTTTATGAACTTGTCATGTTTTTATTAGTATATTATTTGCATATATATATTAATAGTATAATAAAATATGCTTTAAAATATATATATATATATTATATTCTTAATTGACCCCCTCAAATTATATGACAAGATCTGTCATTGCTCTTGATCCATGATTTTTTTTTGTGCAGCTGTTTTAAATGTATCTCTAAGAAAAAGAGTATCAAGAGCCTGTCAATGTTTACTCTTGGCTTTTTTACAGTACTTGAAATGATAAAATTAAATAAAAGAGACTAGTTTGTATATCTTTTCGAACGTCAACTACAGCTGTTCTGAAATTATACTCCCAAAATGATTTTCATTCTGAAATTATGAAACGAATTATCATTTCAGAAAATGGGAACCCGATTTAACTTTTGGAAACATATCATTATTCGTTTAAAGTCTGTCCCCTCATTCACCATAAGAAATCTTTTAATATTAGCATTCAAGAACTTACTCAATGAAAGAAATGGATGGATTTATTGGATATAATGTGACTTTACCATTTGATTTGACTTTAAACTTTTGTCATATCAACATTATTTTTGAATGGTAGATTTTCAGTTCAATCTTTGTAACAATAATTTTTTTGTTATTAAATTGATTTAGCAAGTAATTTTAAATTTTAACTTATTTAATTTATATAATTATTTTTAAAAAATAACATCAAATAATATTATAATTTAAATTTTAACACTCATAATTTTGTTATTTTTAAATTATAAACTTCTTTATAAAAAAAAAAAAAAAATGGGCCTAATGTTAAAATAAAGGGGGTTGAATAAAAAGTTGATGTATTTGTTAGCCATAATTAAGACAGGTTGCCAACTATTACCCCACAAATTTCTCTCTTTTTGGCTCGCACTGTAACTCCCTCATTCATTTCATGCATTTCTCTAATTTTCAAATTCAAATGGTCATTTCCCTCTTCCAATTTCTTTCCATATCAAACTGTTACAGAGAAGATAAAAAGTATGTGCACGCCGTGGACGCTGACAAGGTTTGTTCGATGGAGAGTAAGGGACTTGGCATCATGTTTCCTGGCTTGCAGGTGCCCTTTAGGTATAACAGATAACATAAACTGATTACCTGCTTTTACCATTTAACTGGGAATCTTGATGATCAGAAAAGTTCGTTACGTTGCCAATTTCTTTTATTTGTTTAATTGCAGAAGAAGAACCAGAGGCACATCTCTCTTCATCGCCACCACAACTTCGAATCAGAAACATGGTTTTTGAAACGAAAGATGACACCAGAGATAAGAAGAGTAATAGAAGACTGTCACGGCAAAACAGATGCGACACGGATAGACAGATAAACCTGAGTCCAACAGTCTCAAGGAACACTGGCTCAGTGGAAAATGGGAGTGATAACTCAAGCTGGCCACGTTTTTCTGATGAAGAATATATAGTCTTCTGCTTTAGAGAAGATGGAGCCTTTGACGTTGTGAAGGATAATAAAGAATCAGAAGAATCCAATCAATCCAGTCGAAGTTCACGGCCTGTGAATCGAAAGGTCAACTATGCGTTGTAATTTTTTTTTCCATCCTTTTGGCTTTTCTCCTTGTTTAACATAACTAAACAATTTGGTTGGGAACAGCTTAATTGTGCTGAAGATGCAGAAAGAGATAAGCACTGCAGTGATGATGGAAGAACAAATGAAGATGGAATTGAGGGAGAGATCATTCCTGCTAAAGAGGTGAGGCTATGCTTTCTGTTGAATATCCTTTTATGATTATTCAGACTTTTTTTCAAGTTAAAATCTAACAGAACTAAAAGGTGGCATTTAATAAGTCAAGAAATCAAAATTTAGCACCTGTAATTTCTCCCTCTATCCTCGAGCAGCCATTTCTTTTTTTTTTTTTTTGTAAAAAAAAAATCTAGTAGATACTTGAATTAACAAAGCAGTGACAGAAGCTAGAACAGTACCTTATGAAATTTAGCATAGTTTAGTAACTATAGAACTCCAGGGTAATTCCCTGTTAGATAGAAATGAGAAATTTGTGTTCGGAGAAATCTTCACGGTGGCATTTCGCTTTTACATAAAGGGTGATGGAGTGCGGAGCAGCATCAGCTGCGAGGTAGAGTTGGCTTCAGGTAGATTAAGGAGAAGACATCAGGTAGAGGAGAAAGTGACACCTAACGGGGGGACAGTTTCTGTTGAATCAAGTGACACTAATCAATCTGATTGCAGCACAGGATCCTTTGCCTTTCCTGTGTAAGTGTGAACTTTGTTTAATTGATTATAATGCAATAATTTCTGGTCTTAGAAGCTTATGGTTTGATTGCTTTGGTTAACACTGTTGCAGACTGGGATGGGAATGGTCGGGAAGTCCAGTGCAAATGCCAAAATCAGAGAGCATGAACCCAAGGAAGAACAAGGCCCTATCTGTGCGTTTTCATTGTTTTAGATTCTGATTGTCCTCCTTCTGTCTTCTCTCAATTTTTTTCGGAAGAAACTAGTGTTTATGTTTATCATTCTTTTATCAAAAACAAAGTACATCTGATCAAGTCTCGTAACAGTTCAACATTATCTGGCATATACAGAATGAAAACTTCATTCTCGATTCTAGGAGAATTTTTAGGAAAGCCTTTCATCTGCTTTTATTTTTCCGTGATTCTTCCTCTGATATACAACCCACTTCCAAGGTTCTCTAATCCTTCTGCCACAACTATTAAAATAAGAAAAAAAAATGGACACGAATGTGGTCGCTAAGTGAAAACAATACCTATTTGCCAGTAGACATGAGGAATGAGGATTTAAGTTACAATAGAACTTGCATCAAGAACAGCCAGATGGAGAGGCAGCCATAGTAGTTATGGAAGATGCCTTGCTGAACAAAAAAATTACACCCGTGCATATAAACATACAACAATGGCATATAATAAGTAGATAAAAAGTTACAGAAGAAGCCACCAAGAGAAAAAAAAAAAAAAAAACAGGGAAGGGTGTAGGGGGGATGAGATGCAGTAAATAAATGCTACAGCATGAACCTGATAATGCCGAAGCATCAATGAGCTAGTGTGAAATCCTTCAAGCTTATGAAATCCTTATATTGCTTTCTTCAGCACCTCCTGATCTAAAAAGAAATGATTGAAGATATCACCTTGTACTGGCTGCGGCTGCAAGAGATTCTTCATCTTGATTCTCTTTGGCAGCAGCGAGAGCAGCAACATGAGCTTGCCTTGCTTCTTCCATTTTCTGCATCTCCATGTTATCCACATCATCTTGTTTATAACAAAAGCGAATGTTTCATGACTGGACAAGACAAAATATGAATCCACACTTAATGGGCTTCAAGGTAATGATTTTTGTTATAGCGAAGCAATAATAGCCCTTAAGATACTGATCCTTTCTAGCGACTTTCTCTTATGGCAAAACCAAAAGAATGAAGAGCCATGAATAGAAAAATAGAAGTTTATAAGAAAGAAGGCCTTATAAATGAGATTACCAAGTAATACACAACAGCAGATATTTGGACTTCTATTCTCTTCTACCATATATAACCATTTGATATTTTTGAATAGAGCAATTACAAATAAAAGCCAGGAAAAGTCAAATTAAAAAAAGTTTATATTAGGCATACGATAGTGAGCTTACCATATAAAGGGGATGATCCAAATAATATGGTGCTACATCATAATCTTGAGCACATGTAATGGTATTATTCTTTTTCAAACCATTTAATAACAGCATAAATGATGAAAATTCTCCCTGCATGGAGTCTATATCATTTTGCAGCTTCTCCACCTTTTGCTTAGATGTAATTGCTTCCGACTGCATCTTTTCCAAGGCAGCCTGCTTGTCTGCTAGCCTAATATGAGAGAAGCAAATTTATCAATAATGATAACGAAACAAGAAGCATTTCGCGATGGATAAATTTTATATACACATCTCTGATCAGTAGTCAAATGACTTTTACGTAAACAGAAATCACAAAATGGAAAATGAGAACCAGTTATGCAACATGTCAAATCGTATTGATTTGAAAACTCGATTGCTAGATGTAAAATATTAAGAGTTACCACTAATATTTTTTATTGAAATGTGATTGACCACCAAGTTAAAATTACACCTTTTTAAAAAATTCTAAATTCAATTAAGATTTCATAAAAAGAATAAGTTTTTGGTTTACATTACAAAATTAAGTTCGAATGTACGGTTACATATGAAAAAAGATTAGCACTCCTACAGTGTCCGTCCTAAGATGATACCACATAACTTTGTGTTGCACTAAATTCATCTTTAATTAAATGGTCTTTTGTTTTATTTTGTTGTTGTTTTTATTTATTTATTTAATTATTTAAATATCAAAAAAATTTCGAATGAGTTTTCTATTATTCTAGTAAAATCTTTAGAACATCCTAATTTTAGAATTATGGTAACAAATGTTCAAGGATAGTTCAACCTTCGAAAGCTTCAAATCAACCTGTCCACCACTCATACAATACTCGCTCATGAGTCAAAGCCATGGAAGAAGAATAAAATAGTCAAATAGATAAGATCGAAGAAACACAAGATGAGATAAAATAGCAACTTAATATGATAATGGGTATGATGAGAAAGATGGACAAAGGAAAGGAAATGGTTAGAAAAGAAGTTGCTCAAGAAGGTCACCAACGACAAGATGACGGAAATCCCCATATCTGCCAAGTTTTACTCTACATTGAGCTCAAACCTCTCAAGAGGCACAACCATAAGCAATGTCGTTTATTGGAGGGTACCCATATGTCTATCCAAGCATACCTATAACAATTGGACTTACCCATTTTCAAGAGCAAGCTATTCTTACCTCAAGAATGAAAACTTCAGATCCGATTCAAGTGCTAAATTTGGATAATCTTAAGGAGATAAAAGGGCTAGGAATGAAAGCACCTGAGATAGTAAAGGACTCAAGTTTCCAGCAAAAGACAAAATTGCTAGAAGAAAGACTTAGAGCTATAGATTGAATGAATTTGTATGACTATGGACACGGTCAATCTTTGTTTGGTTATGGATGTGCTCATCCCATATAAATTCAAAGTCCTAAGTTTGAAAAGTATGATGGGATTAAATGCCTGGTAACTCATGTGACCATTTATTATCAAAAAATGACTACGTATACTCGTGACGAAAAATCGCTAATGCATAAATTTCAAAATAGCCTTACAGGTTCTACAGCTAAATAGTATGTTCAATTAGACAAGACTCATATCCACTATTGGAAATAGCTTACAAAGGTATTCTTTACTCAATACTAGCATGTCATAAAGCTAGCTCCAAATCTTTTATTTCTATAGAATATGAAAAAGAAAGCAATTGAGAGTTTTAAAAAATACGTGTAAAGGTGGAGAGATGTGGTTGCACAAATATAGCTTCCTTTACTAAGAAAGAAACAACTGTCTTGTTTGTCAAAACTCTAAAATCACCATATTAAAAATGCCATAAAAAATGACAAGCTTGACATAAGAAAGATAAGTGGCACAAAGTAAGATGGAGCACTCAAAAAGAAAGAAAATAAAATGCAAGTAATGAACTATGTAAGGCAATAGATCAAAAGATTTACCCCATACCTTGCACCAATGTACCAAACCCATTATACACATATAAATAATATGACATCCATCCCCCATCCTTATTAGTTAATTCAACAATCGACTTATCCACCCCTTTTTTAGCCATTCGTTCAAACACCGACATATATGTACAACCATGCTACTGCACTCATTAGACTAGAATGGAGACTCAATCAGGGTAGTAGTCTAAGAGCCCCTAGAAATACTAAAAAAAAAACCTCTTTTGACCCTATTCCCATGACATACATTGATTTGTTCCCTTAGATTGTGAAGAATCATTTGCTAGCTCCAGTTATTCGTGAACCATTGAAAACCCCGTATCCCAAATGATATGATCTAAATGCATATTGTGATTATCATTATGAAAATACAGACCATTCTATAGAGAATTGCACTATTTTAAAGCACAAGGTGCAATAGTTAATTAAGGAAAAAGTGTTAAACTTCGATATTAGCCAACAAGGAGTTCCAAATGTTAATGAAAATCTTTTACCAAATCATACTAGACCAACAATAAATGTTTTGACTGATCATTAAGAATGCTAAGTTAAAAGGAAAATAGATGAAGTCAAAACTTTTATGGCTAAAGTTTTTGAAGCTTTAGTTAAAGTTGATATGTCGGAACCAATTAAACTTTACAATTGTCATGAAATGATAAAATCAACTGAAAGTTGTGATTATCATAAGGTTGTTTTGGGGCATTTTATCAAAAATTGTGATCAGTACCATCATGAGGTACAAAGGTTGATGGACATGGGTCAAATAGAATTTTATGAAAAAAAAATTGACAAAAGCTAAAGTGGCTACTATTGATGCACCGATAAAGTTCGTGCATAGATCTGTGACAATTTATTATGAAGACAAGCCAACCCCAATGCCAGAAAGTCCTATCTCCCAACCAATAGTGACTATTAAAGTCTCTAGCCATTTTTCAAATTAGAACAATAAAACAGTACCATAGAAGTATGATTATGATATTATGGTCAATCTAGATACTGCAAACATAATAGGAGTAGGAGGTGTAACTCGAAGTGGGCGATGTTACACTCCGAAAATGCTGAAAAAAGTTAGGAAAGAAAAAGACAAAGTATAAGAGGAAGAAGGAAGTCAGAATAACATTGTGGTAGTCCCTGCTAAAGAACATTAAAAGTCAGTCTCTAAAAAAGAAGCTTGTGAATTTTTTAAGTTGATAAAGCATAGTGAATATAGCATGACAGAACAGTATACCAGCTAAAATTTCATTATTGTCATTTTTATTAAGTTCATAGGCCCATCGCAATGCTTTACTAAAGGTGTTTAATTAAGTATATATGTCCCGTAACGTATCTACTGAGTATGTAAAATAAGTTATTAGTAACTTGGTGGTTTCGAACTATATGTACCAAGGCTTTTTACATTATTGTTAAGTACAAAAGTCATATAATGGCAAATGTTCTAATTGACAATGGCTCTTCAATTGATGTCATTTAGAACCTTGCCACTATATGACACTCACACTTAACAGTAATGTGAAGAGCCTTAATATTTTCTTATCTCTTTAAAAGAATCGCTTCATCACTAAAAGAAATATAGTTCAAAACAATCAGATTACCAACAACTTATTTCATATAGTCAGTAGATACATTATGAGACATATATACTTGATTAAACGTCTCGTGGGCCTGTAAACTTAATAAAACTGACAATAATGAAATTCTAGTTGATATAGTGTTCTACCATACTATATTTATTATGTTTTATCAACTTATCTGAGTTTTTTTTCAAAGACCGACTTTTAATGTTCTTTATTAGGGACTAGCACAATATTATTCTGACTTCCTTCTTCCTCTACTATTTTGGCTTTTTCTTTCTTAGCTTTTTCCGGTATTTTCGCAATATAACATTGGCCACTCCAAATTGCAGATCTTACTCTGAGTTGCACCATATCAATAATCACATTAATCATTTAATAAATAAAATTTAATATTACGAATGATTAATTAAAAATATTTTTAAAATAATATTATAATGATTAAATTTTTTTAAATAATACTAAAAAAACTAAATTTTAAAAAATTGACGAGTTCAGAGACTTATAGTACATTTTATCTTAAAGTTCTGAACTGCCCATTTACTTCATTCTCCTTTTTCTTGTCTTCTCTCTCTATTTCTTTCTCTGCATACATGTTTTTTTTATCAAATATCAATGGCCGGTGATCATATATGTATTTGCAGAAGAAAATGCACAACTTGTCTGAGTTTTTTTCCTTGGCTGATTCAAGGTATTACTGTTTTAAAATATTAATTTTGTTTTCTTAAATTTGTCTATGCAACTATTCTTTAGTCGTGTAGGATTGCTATTAAGGCAGGTAAGGACATGACTGTTTCTCCATTTTTAATGGTTGTCACCTAAAAGATTATGGTTAACCCTTATTCTAATGTGCTGGGTTTTTATTGCTATCTATGTGCCTTTTCTTCGTTGAGCTCTTTAAAGTTTTGTGCCAGGGAGATCAATTTCTAATTCATTCTTCAATCTTCACATTGAATTCCCAAATTCAACTACTTTTCCATCTCATTCCTATCTGATATGCTTCTGTTTCATTCATCCTTTAAACTTTCTATGTGGTTCATGGCTATTGTTTCTCTTTCTCTTTGACTCTTGAGGTAAGCAACTTAACGGAGGCATCTTTTTTTTTCCTAATGAAGAGTTATAGTCTATTGCGGTTCAAGTGGGGCGTGGAAAATTTAGGCCCAAGGTCTTTGCTCACTTTGTTACTGGTTTTATGTCACTAAAGCTCTTCACTTCACACTGTTGTGTACAGCTTATTTGCTGGCAAATGATATTGATTCCAAGCATTTGGCTTGCAAGCTGAAAAAGTTCTGATGTAGCTACATAGTCAATTCTTTTTTTCAAATGTGTATTAATAATTATTAATGGTAGTAATCTCCTTATGTCAATTTTGGTTGCTGCTTTGTTGAGTATGCAGAGAAAGTAGAGTACCTGTAACTACTTTCCCTCTTGGTGTTTGTCACTGTGATATATAATTTGCTCATGAATTGTTTTCTGTAAATACAGATTTCACCTATATTTGGTTTCTTTTGTGACCGACTCTAACTAGACAATTGTCTTATGTATAGCATCGTGCAGGGGATGATCTAGTCTCTAATTTTCAGTTGATGGAAAATTAACCTTCATTCAGAAATGTGGCAGACTGGTTAGTAACTACAAAAACTAGCTGCAAACGTTCTTCATATCTCGTCAAAGCCATTATCAAATCTGACCTTTCTTCATTTTGGTTGCTGGGTTCAGGTAGCTGCAGATATTTAACAGAGCAATGTGTTTTTGCTAAAAGTTAGTGCCAGCAGAAGAATACAAACTTGGTAATTTTATAGCTTTGTTACCAATGATGTGCTGATTTTTATATAAAATATCATTTCTTCATCAAGTTCCCTGCATCCTTTTTCCTTGTTGTATTGCCAGTAAACTATACATGGGATAGGAAAAAGTTCTCAAATACTTGGGTATTCATTACAGTAATCAATCTTATAAAAAGTTGGTTTTTCCACAAACAACTGCATTGATCCTCATTGATGGATTCATGATGGTTTTAATTTATTTTTTATGTTGATTTACACTTTTGAGTACTACTTGAATGTGTCATGGTTTTAAAAATCAATATAGTTGTGGTGAGGCAGACATTTTTAGGTATTGAGGCTATCTACACAGTACCAACTATCAGATTTGAAACTTAAATGTTCACATTTGTTTCCTATATGAGAAGTCGTGAACTCTTTCCAGATTCCAGACTGAACATCCCATCACACCTTTCTAACTTTTTTTACTCTCTAAAATGCCTTTTCCTTCGTCTTTTTAGTTATGCATTTATGTTGTAAATTTGTAATCTTATCACAAATCTAACTTTTTCCTTTTCATGCTGGCAATCTGTGCACCTCAGAGGCAGTCATATGGAATGCATGTTCATGTTTTTGGTCCGAACTCTGAAGTCTGTGCTGGATGAGAACATTTAGGGTAAAGACCAATATAGAAGTTAACTGGCAAAAGGGAGATGGAGGAGTCAAGAATCATGGAACTAACCTTGTCATGGCTTGGAAGAATCCAATCATGTACTGCAAGTCCTAGTGAAGCCGAAAGAAGTAAGGAAGAAAATGAAGTTCATAATACTTGTGAGACATTTTTGGCATCTGACATGCCAGAACTGGTTTTATTTATTCAAGAGAGTGATTATCAGTCGGTCACGGATATTTTCATAGATAGAGAAGTTCCTTCATGGAGTGGATTGAACTATAAGGATATCTCTTCCAAGTTTCGGCAGCATGTCGACACCAACAGCGAAGGACCTAGAAAAAATCTCAGTATAATGTCCAATGAGATTGAACAGGACTTTCAGAATTACGCAAGGAAACAACATGCTCTTGATGACTTAATGAAGGTTGGTTAAGAAGATTCTAATGGAATAGATAATCATTTACAAGTCCACTGAGAAGATGATACCTGGAATGCATCACTTGAAAGAGGTAAGAAGCTAGATGCTTCCATGCTTAATTCTTTGTCATGGAAATTTGAATTGGTTGCAATGGTGGCTAAGGTTAATAGTGGTAATAAGTATAGAATAAGAAGTATTTTCTTGAGTCTTGACAAAAGATTTAGCCAAAGTTATGACTAATGTGTGTATGTTGGTATGCTGGCTATGTTCTTTGTGTTATTTTACCAGCTGAAGATTATTAGGAGTAATGGTAAGTACTGCAGCTGCAACAGATAACGTTTGCTCTATACTTGATTGCCCCTGCATCAACTTTACAATACGTAATAACAATCCACCAAACAATTTCCTGATTCTCAATAAAAATGTTCAGATTTTGATCAATTGAGCACATCCGCAGTTTCAAATTGAAGATTCAGTTTCATTGAACCATTTCAAACCATCTGCAGCTGAATCAATTGGTGACAATAGCCATTTAAGAGAGGTCTCTTCGCATAGTGAAGCTGAGAGTGGAAGCACCCTTCATTTTTCTGATTCATCTTTAACCACCATGTGTAGCCTTAAGGAATTTTTAGAAGGTCCAGAGTGTCAACAAACTCATAAAACTGAAAACTTATCCAGGACTAAAGATAGGATTTCACAAAGCCTAACAGTTTCAAGTCAAAGCTTTATTAATCAACTTGGTCAGGGAGATTGTGGTTCCTTTGCAGTTAATCCTCTTTCAAGCCCAATACCATGTTCTGGTAGCATTTCTTTGCAGTCAACTAGTAGCACTGCCAGCAATCATTCTTTTGCTTTACCCATGTAACTTTTGTTCTTCATAATTTCACTGTGCTTTTCTCAATTATCCATAAAATAACTGGTAGCTCATTGTTGGGCTTTAACAAACAGATTGCCATCAGAATGGAATGGCAGCCCAGTAAGAATGGTGGAAGCTGACCAGCAAGAACCGAGAAAGCACCGAAGTTGGAGAACCTGTTTTCTTTGTTGTATATTGCTTGTTTATAGTATTTTATTTCCTTTTGTCTGATTTTGTATTCATGTGTATGCTGTGCAGGATTCCAAATATACAGTTTTTTTTTTCCTTTTGAAGTCTTACATATGTGTTCTTTTCCTGATCCATATTCATACCTTCCAACATTACCATTAAGCAAGTTGGGAACTATGCTGATTGCAAAACAATTAGCCAGGACAGAAATTTGGTTCTTGCCAAGTCAATTTAGACAAAGCTTTTCTCATTTCTTTTGTCTTTCAGAAGATGCAAGAATCTTGGTTTTAGTTGACAATGAATGCTTTTGGATGATCATCGGTGAGTTGATATACTGTCAATGACTGATACAAAGTTAATTTTATAGGGTTAGCTCCTTTGATTTTAGCTTCCATTTCTCATCTGCTGTTCCACAGTTGCAAGGTTTTTCGACAAATTTCACCTGAGATTAGTGAATAATGTTCCCTTATTTTTATCATGAATTGGATTGATTAACCACAAATCGTCAACGTGTTCTTGCAAAGATAGTAAGCTATATTTTACTTTAAGCAAACTGATGATGATCCAGTAAGAATCAGTTTTTGAATGATCTTATCTATATTCCAAAAGCAGCTTCCTAATTCCTGAGAAAAAAAATTTAGTATTTTCCCTGTTTCCCTTCATGCAAGTATTCTTCTTGCTCATTTTTATATCTTCTCTGCTTTTTCTCTCTTTGTTATCTTCTTCACCTCTTTGCTTAATTTCTTCTCCTCATATAACTGATTTGAGAATGGAAACGCATCCCGGAGCTCTACTTCCAATGCTCTTGACCTTCTTTTCTGTGATAGGTCTGATTAGTTCTCCAACTCGGGCTCCGACGAGCTCTTGAATCATCGGACCAGGAATTACAACAACACTCGTGCCAAGCAAAGTAGAAGATAGTAAGGTTTTCATCATTGGTGCTCTGGAGTCCGGAGTTGGCTTAAGATAAGTGGCAGTCCTGATTGAGTTCGATCGAAATCGAAATTGACAAACATGTGCAAAGCAAGGGTTGATAAAGTCGCTTGGTGCTTACGGCATTCCTTAAGCAGTTGACTAACCCAAATTTCCACTACTTTCACTTTCATGCATGCCATTACTGCTTTGCTTTTCTCTCACATGTCCAGCTAAAACACAGTGATCTTGTCACCTTTGACAAGCAAATCAATGCCGGTTTTTCTCTTTCAGATTTTATAGACAACAGGATTAGTGCAAACATAATTTAGGTGGAAATTCAAACTGCTTTTATTTTGTTTTTTTAATCTTAGATGGTGATTTCATGTTGAGCAAATGGTTGGTTGTTGGGCCAAGCTACCTTGGGCATGGCCAGGCAAAATCAAGGATCCTTGACATAAACATAATCTCATATACTATCAAATCTGCAATGCATTAACCACAACTGGGCACGAGTAATTCATTGTCAATAATTGCTCCTTGAAGGACCACTTGACCTCTATTATATGGCCCTCTTAATCCAAACAGGTTGCTAGCATTCTCACAGTGCCAAGCTGCAAATCTGTAACATCATCATGTCCATGGTCAAGTTCTACAAATTTAAGGTCATTTCCCAGTCTGATGGCAAGAAATGCATATGTATGAAATCAAATCTGAGACATGGGATCATTTGCATCAGAGTAATCATTTTGAACCATTACTGGAAGTGTCCCGACTGATAAACCATCTAATTCTTAATTGCTCTACACCGTTCTCAAACGTTTGATGGAAACCCAAAAGGAAGGCCCCAATTTGGCAACCATGATTGGCTCACCAATTGCAGACATCAGAATCAGTGCTACCAGTTGAGGGCCAATGGCCATGACCACACAGCAAGGAGTCAAGGACCACCTCCATGTGCTAAACTTTGAGGTACCAATTTTCAGTCGCGACCCATGCCGCAGTGTTGCTTTGGCCATGCCAAGGTAATCTTGGGCACGGCATGGTCCATTGCCAGTGAATCTTTTTATGATCCTTCCATTAGCTATCAAGGCAATATGATGGAAAAACCAGAAGTCTCATAGGTCACATCCGGCCTATTGTCACGTTCGCTAGCCGTGCCCATTGGGCCAATCCATGGCCAACGGTCGATCATCTCTGTTAGTCTTCAATTGGCAGCTTAGTGAGATATTTGGGCAATGAATTAGCTGCAAAGAATAACAATTAACATTATCGAACTCAAACTTTAACTCAATTAAATCATATAATTATTTTTTTCAAAAAAATTGACATTTAACAAATCTAAATTTAAATCCTAATATTTACAATCTACTCCTCTATTCTTAACATGCAGCTCCGGGCTTTTCAGGTTCTGTAATCTCCAGGTTAATCCAACACGACATCATATCACACTGACAGTCACCGTCTCATAGACAGTGAGAGAGAAAGAGAGATGTTCTTTTCAGCTGCTCTCCTGAAGGTTAGTGAGTTAGCCTATACCCTGCTGTTGGGGGCATTTGGCTAATCTAAATGGCAATGGCGGCAGCTCACACGATTATAACCAGGTTTGTCAATCAGGATGTTGCGGAACAACAGTCAACAGCCATCGTTTTTTTTCGCTTTTTCTTAAAATAAATTTACAGGAATCCTAAAGAGAAAAAAGCGTGTTTGCAACTTTAGCAAAGGACATCAAATAAGAACATATAATGATCATTTATGAATAATTAAGAGTACAATTAAATGAGACTGAGATAAAATTATACGTATGTTTCGATTAAGCATTGGTAGCTTTCAGCTGGAAACTTCGACTGACCACCAGGCCTATCAGCAGTAGCATTGGCCAAACTAGAAGGACAGCAGAGGACCAGGCCCAGGGCTAGTGGCGACCCAGCCCTCATGCCTTGAACCCTCCCAATGGCAAGTTGATGAAGGATAACCCCCCCCCCCCCCCCCAATCCTAAATTTAAGACTTTGTATAGCAAAGGCAATCTCCTATTCAAGGTTGTACCCAGAACTACAGATCAAGATGAAAACTTATTATGTCATTGTTGCAGCCAAAAGGGACCACTCCAACGCTCAATCCCTGACGTTGCAAAGATCAATATCCCCCAAAAGGACCACATCAAAGTTAAACCCCCACCGCTACTGCCCCACCCTACCCTAGAGTACAAGGTCCAAACATTTGAGCAATGATACAGAAAAAATACTAAATTCTTTTCCATCATCAATCATCATCATTCATATCCATCCAGAGATAGAGAGATGGACAGGGCATTGAAAAATCAGAAACAACGGAACTCACTTCCCAGAAAAATCAGTGCTGATAATCGAAGGCCTTGGAAAATGGTGGGATACATGACTCGTATGGGGGATGAGACTCGAGACCACTTCTGCTTCAGCACATGCCCTGGACCCACCCATTATCAGTTTACCAGTAACCACCCACCTAATTGGGTACCCAGACTGCCACATCATCATCATCATATCTTGATCGTCACCATAGCCATTTTACATTTCAATCTACCCTGGGGTGAGCACTAAAAAATTTTCTCCCCAAGGTGAGATAGAGGGGAAGGACAAACCGACCCAGGTGTCTCTCAACTGCCACGTGCAGTCATATCGCACATGGGACTCCTGGACCCACCAAAAATGAAAATCAACTTCCCAACCGACTTCTTATTTTGGAATAGCTGTAGTGGTACGCTCAAGCATTTTTTTTGTATGTATGATTTATTAAGCATTTAATTTAAATAAATTAATAATAAATAAAAATTTTAATTTATATATAAAATTATAAAAAATTATATATTTATTAAATATAAAATAACATAGAATAATTTCGGCTCGGCACATTTTCAAGCCAAAAGCGTTGCTATTTTGAATGTCATATTAAAAACTCCGTTTGAATTCCATCGCACATATGACGCAGTTGTACCATCCCCTCTTATTCCAATTAGAGAAGGATCCAATGGTAGACCTTCCGATAATCTATTCTTCTAATGTAAAATTGAAAAAAAATCATTATTTTTAATTATGATAATAATTTATTTTTAATGTAACAGTCAATTATTTTTATTAATTTACATTCAATGATAGATTTTCATTAATGATTTTAATCTTACAATTAATAATACGATCAATATTATTTTTAATTCTATTAAAATCAATTTCACCTTCACCTAAACCCCTAATTCATCATTTATTTAGCTAATATATAATTAATTTGATTAATTAAAACTAAGATATTCTCAAAAAAATAATTGAAACTGACATTAGTGATGATTAATTCATAACCGTGCACAAAACTACAAATAAAACTTTCAATCAGAAAAAAAAAAAAAAAAAAAAAAAAAAACAAAACAAAACAAAACAAACCACTCTATACTTTCTATATTTTGATTAATTTAATTCCAGATACATCAGAAAAATAGCCAAAAAATAATTAAAAACAAAGTTAGTTGCACATGAACACCGGGAAGATCAAACTGGAAACACTTTCCAAAATCATCAAAATAAAACTTAAATATTAAAATATTTACACAAGAAGAAACAGTCACATTCATATACCCATATAACTCTCTTCAATTTCTTTACCTTAAGCTAAGCTTTTTTGCAGTTTTTTCTCCTTTTTTTTTTTGTTTTTGTTTTTTTTTTTAAATTTTGTAGTTAATAAATAATTTAACAAAAAAAAGTTGAGAGATAAATTACGGGATATAGAGGGTAGGATGATCTTGATCAGTCCACTGGCACTGACTCCAATACGTCTGATCAACAGTGTTTGGAAGATCAAACAACCCTTGATCTCCACTCCCTTGCCAATCCAACGGTCCGTATCCTCCACAACCTCCACCCTCCGATCTACTATGCAAATTTGATAGCTCAACCTCCAGCGTCTGATCAACCAATCCCCCGGTGATTTCCTCCCCTCTCATACTCATCATCTTTTGCTGCTGCTGCCACTGTACTTGCTCAACTCCTTGCCCATTTAATACCGTACCGAAACCAAACGGCAGCGTTTCATTGTTTGACGAACTAATCAAGCCCGTAAAACTCCCAATCTCCGAAAATATGCCGCCGTCCGATCCTTGTTCCAGCAATCCTGGCTCGAATCCTAAATTATTAGGGTATTCATAAAACTTCGAATCGCTTACATTTATCAAGCTAGAGTGAGATGTTACTGCCGATAGCGCCTCCGCAGTCCCACAAGCAGAACTATTATTGCTGTTGTTGTTATTTGTTGCTGCGACGTTAGAATTGGCTGCAGTAAGACTCGAATTCTCACTGCTAGAACGAGAATTCTCTTTACGTTGATCACGCTGTTGATGCTGTAGCCGTGGCGGTGCAGAGGAGGTGGCTTCGGATGTAGGTTTGGTTGTCGAGCGCTTGGCTTTGCGGCAACCACCGCCGACGGGGACGTTTCGGAGCACGCCGCCTTTTGTCCAGTAACGACGGCAGCTCTTGCAGAAATGACGTGGCTGAGAGAGGTTATAGTTGTTGTAGTAACAGAACTTCGTGTTGAGAGAGTCGCAGCGCGGACACTTGAGTGCTTGGTGGTTTTGGTGGTGGTGGTGCAGCCGTAACCTTCTGTCCCCACCTCCTCCGCCGCCGCCGAATATACGGCCAACTCCGATCGAGTGGATGTCTTGCATTACTCAAAACTATTTTCACTCAAAAAATGGAAGCGAATTTGTTGGAAACTCGAAATTTAATCTGATTTATTTATGTCAGTTTATATATACACAGATTCCAGCGACGTTTTGCAAGAAAAAAATTACGTCAGTGAAGAGTTTGTTTGCGAGAGAAAAAAAAATAAAGAAGCACATGAGAGTTTTTGAACTTGTCTTGACAAATATCCCTTTGCATATCTTCTAGTAACAAAATTATACTCTAAATTACCAAATTAACCCTTTAACGAAACGAAATTGCGTATGTAGAATAGGACAGGAAAGTACGAAATTGACCTTGAGAAAATTAAGTTGGGAGGGATTTGGAAATCGAGTACTGTACAGATAGAGAGATTTGGGACCGTTGGATGGGACACGTGGAGGATAAAAAAGGTTAGGGTACTGATGTCCACAAAATCAGGTTGTCTAGTTGTCGGCCAACCCAGTTTCTCTGCTGGGCCCGTCCTGGTGTTTGTATAACCACGTCGCGTAATGTAATTGGTGGGTTGTAAAACAAATACTACCTGGTTTACTGTACCATTGCAGTTGCTCTGTCCTGACACTCAATGACACGTAGGTTATTTTATATGTAAAATATGTAAATATATCAAATATAAAATAATTTTTTAATATATATTTTAAAATTTTAAACAATTATCTTTATATTTTTTATATATTATTTATATTGTGTTATCAGTATGTTTAAAATTGTTACAACCATTTGTAAGGTTATATATAAATTGATGACAAAAATTATAAAATTTAATTGAATTGTAAATTTAATTAAATTTGTTTATATAATTATTTTAAAAAAATAAATATTTAATATATTTGGATCCAAATTTTAATATATATAATTCCTTTCCTTACCTTTAAATTGTGACATATTCTTTAATACCCAAAAAAAAATACAAAAATTAATTAAACAATAAATACACTCTAACTTCTTTATAATAAAAGAAACTTACAAGAGTTATAAACAATAAAAATAATTTCAAAAAAATTGGTGATAACAAGTTCATATGTAAAGGACATTTGAGATTTTAATAGTTTTGTATTCTATTAATAGAATGTACTATTAATTTTAATGAATAAAATTTAAATTTTAATAAATTTTAAAGAAAGAAATTGAGATTTCTATGTAAATTTAATTTTTTTTGGTACGACAACTACTTAAGTAAAAATGATGATATCATTGTCCTTTTACAAACCCAAACTATTATGAAACTCAAAACATATCCATCACTTAAATTTTGGTAATGTATGAACAGTAAATTATTAAAATTTAAGTCACCAGTCACCTCTTTCTATTTTTAATTTTTTATTTTTTCTTTCTCTTTTTGTTTCTTTATTTTTTTTCTATTCTTTGTCAATCTTTTTATGTTTAATAATTTTTTTTTAATTTTACTTTTAAGTGGAACCTATTTTTATCAATTTTTTTTAAGATTTTAAATTTATTTTTTATTGAATCTATTTGAAACTAAGAGTACGTTGTGTGTATTTTTTATTATTTTTTATTTTATATTGATTAATTTTTTTTGTCTCACCAATATCAAGAATATGTTACATGTCAAAAATTTTTTTTTCTTTTAGTCTCTTTTTTCTTTTTTTATCATTTTTTCTATTTAATTTTTCTTTCTTTTTAAAAAAATATTTATACATATTTTACTTTGAGACGGGTCAAATGGGTACTTGATCATTTTGTTTTCAAATAATACACCTTAAAATAGGTTGAGTTTAAAAAAAATAAGAGAGCTTGGGTTAGAAACATATTTAGAATGCTTTGTTTTGAGTTATTTTAAGGTATATATAAAAATTTATATTTTATTATTATTTAATTATATATATCATATTAATAAAGTTATTTTTTAACTTAATTTTATAAATTAATATTTTAAACTCAATATGAAGTATCAATGTAATACCCTTTATGAGCTTTTTTCTCATTTTTTATTTTTAATTTTTAATTTTTTTAATTTTTTGTTTTTGGTATTTTTTATTGGATAAATTAAAAAATGAAACTAATTAAAATATCCACATATTATTCTCATTTGATTTTTTATCGTTCATCTTTTTTAATTTGATCAATTTTATAAAACATATACGTTGAATTGACAAAACAAAAATTTTACTTATGATAATGCGCGAATTTTTTTTTTAGTATATTATTTCTTTTGGACAACAAAATCACTTGCTTAGCGAACTTAACTTTTACAATCTAAACCCCTAAGAAGATTACCATATGTCTATCCTAATTACCCTTTGAATCATTTAATTTATTAATTTTATTTTTTGATTCAAAATTTAATTTAAATCAGCCAATAACTTAGATGAAAAAAAAATTTTTTGAAGATGACTATGCAACAAAGTTAAATGTGAGTAATTATATTTTTGAAGAAGTGATCATAATTCAAGATAAAAAAAAAATTATGTATGCCCACATTTAAACTTTAAACTTGCTTAAAGCACAAGTGTTTTGTATTAATAAAAATATTCAAAATTTATTTTGATATTATATAATTTATTATTTATTTTTATTGACATTGCATTTAATTTAATTTAAGAACTCTTTCAAAAGACACCATGGGGGTTAGGTCTCACCGAAGGCTGAGTTGATATTGCTCCAACCCCACTTTGGGTCACAATCCTTAGAGTCCCAACCCTATTACATTTCAACCCCATCAATGAATTCGACAAGGATGCCATAAATCTTGCTCTTAATTGTGCCACTTGTTTACTCTCCAATATCATATCATATATCAATATCCTTGTTAACTCACCCAAAATTTACACATTTGAGACTGTCCTTATATCATCTCATCTAATAGCTTGATTATGTATCTTATAATTTTTACTTCTTGTCAACCATTTAAACTTGAAATTTAAACTTAATCCGAAGTTTCGAAAATTAATAAGTTTTATGAGATGGGAGAGAATTATTTTTCATATATGTTATATGTTTGTTTTCGCTTTAAATTTCAATAATTATATTTATTATTAAAATTATTTAGTGATTAGACGACTTAATCAAATACAAGAGAATAAGATTAAAAAAAAAAAAAGGTGGGAGTGAGATTTGACTATGAATACGCATTGATTTTCTTTCATTAATTTTGCTTTTGGCCAATGGAAAAAAGGTAGGGTACCATTATTAAGGGTCACCTACTTGTTACAAAACCAATAGCACAAGAGGCATGGAGGCCATATGCCTCGCGAGCAATATTGTTGTTTCAAAATAGTGATTTTGACCTAAAGTTCATGGAGAATTTAATTGGGGTAATCTTTTTTTATAAAAAAAAAAATTATCGATGTTAAAATTTAAAATTATTAAATATTAATTTTAAAAAATTACATAAATAAATTAAAATAAATCTTAAATTCAATTAATATAATATTAATAAATACGAAATATATATATATATATATATATATGTCTTTGAGATATTGAAATGCAACTGTTCTTAATTAAAAACTTGGATCCCAACCCAAACCACCAACCTGACACCAAGTTCCGGTGATTAATTCATTAGTCAAACTCAAACAATAGGCATATGTAGTCCAGCCATTATTAGTCATTTAATGACATTCTTGTGACAAAATTAAGAGCACACAGTTAAGCCTTGACGTGGTGCAATCATAGCCTTGACAAATTTTTAAGTATAATATAAGTTTCTTTGATTTTATCATTAATTAATTCCTACTCATCTATGTAGTTTTTACATAAAACACGTATAAATTCATTCGAACGTAATTAAAATGATAAGATTGAATTTAAATTTTAGTGTATTAATCAGACAAATACATAGAATTATATAATACTAACATTAATTAATCATTTCACAAAGTATTGATATTTTTTTTTGTATACAACAAAGGTTATCGTCTAAAATTAAAAATTAAAAATATTTTAATTTTAATTTTAATTTTATTAAATATTATTTTTTAAAAATAAGTATATAAATCAATTGAATTAAATTTTAAATTCAATCATCTAATTTTAAGTATTGCTACGGTTGGTAATACCTTCAAAGGCTTTAATGTCATCATTGATTATTAAGCACTGCATTTATGGCACCACGTCAGGTGCTCATTTACAGGCCAATATTGTCAATAAAAGCACGTAAGCATTCTCAAGCTAAAGCAAGTTTGCGTTGCTCCATTGGTAATGTTTTTGAAAAAATTATATATTTGATGGAACTTTCAATAAGAGAAAGTTTGAATATTTAATTTGTCAATATATCAAGAAAACTTATTCAAATACTTTTCAAATGGACGAGGGGAAATGAATTTGAAATGATTTTGTTTTTTTGTTTTTTTAAAGTAAGCTAGTTATCATTTTTTATTACATCAATTTATAACATTTGGCGTTATAAAAAAATCAATAATTTTTATTAAAAAAAAAACCCATAAATGAGATATTTCTCTAATTAATTAATTTTACCGTATGGCTAAAAATTAAGTATGAAGTACATGCTCACTCATGTTGAAGCAAATTGTCAAATTATATTTGAGCACATAAAAACTCAAGCAATTTCACAAAAGCAACACTAAATTCCCCAATGGGGGACCTCTGTCTATAACACAATGTAACAAATAGGTGACAAGGGCTTACTAAAAATCCATGTCAAATGCAATGAAAAAAAACATATCAATCAAAGTCTTTATCGCATATATATATATATAATCGATAACAAGAAAATGAAATCTCCACTGCAACCCTAAATAAATACATAGCACCACCCCCTCAAATCGCGAGGACCATGTTTGGCTACGTATGTTATCTCCAAGTGTCTACCTCCATTCTCCATGTTCTTCAACCATTGGAATATTAAAAGCAAAATGATTGTCCTGTTTGGCCAAGGCTTAGGCCCCTATGGGGACAAATCCAAAATTTTCATCCATAAAACTTAAATTTTATAATTTAAAATATAATATGATGATATAATATAAATATGATATAATAATAAAATATAAAAATAATTATATATGAGTTTTAAAAAATTTTAAAATTTTATTTTATATTTTTATATTGATATAAATTAAATATATAATTTTCATATAAAATATAATATAAATATATAAATTTTAATATTTTACATTATGTAAATATATAAATTATTAAATTTAATTTAACTGTTCCATGACGTGATAATCGGTGCATGAGTTGTGGAGCCCAAAAGTT